ATTGTTTGGGAATCTGTGCTTTACGTTGCATCCCGTATCAGCCTATGAAACTCCCTGCTGAAAACAGATCCCAGCTGAGGAACACCAGCTACCCAGACTGATGACCAAGAAGATACTAATGCCCTCTGAAAGGGAAGAGTCTGCACAAAGAGATGCATTTTGCTTTACACCTTAAAAGCAGTGAGACTTTGGCTCTGAATGAGCAATGGCGGAAAAGGAAGATTTCCAAACCTCATTTCAGGGGAGATTCTAAAAATGGGTCAAGGTTTTGAGGGAGGGAGGTTCTCTTAATCTATCTGAGCTGGCTCCCCAATGCCCTGCTTGTGCAATACACTTTCAGAGGCAGCTGGTGACTCTACTAGAGCACACCTTTGCACAGGTGAAAATGGCTATCCTGGGTCCAAGGTAGAGGAGAACTGGGCCTACAGCACTCAGTATAAACACGCATATTCACAGAAGATAAAAAATGTGCCCTCTAGTCGTAAGAGACTATAGCGTGGAGCAGTGGTGACCCATGCCTGCCAATAGTGTGTGTGTGTGTGGGGGGCGGAGTGAGGGCAGCCGGCTTCAGCAGTGTTACTGAGCATGCTCAGTCCATGTGAGCATGGTCAGTACAAGCCAAGCAGCAAATGTGCGGGTGGGGGGGTGACCCTGCCCGTCCCCCCTCCCACGTGTCTCATCTGGCGGGGAGGGATGGTCTTGTGGTCGCAGCACAGGGCTGGGACTCAGGAGAGCTGGGTACAGATCCTAGGTCTGTCACAAACTTTCTATGTGAGTTATTTAATCTCTGTGTGCCTCAGTCTCCTACCACCAGGAAGGGAGATGCTTCAGCTGCTGCTAGCAGCTTGTCTATGCCAGTGTTATCACCATGGCTACCAATGGGGGAGTTTTAGAAATAGGGGGAGCGGATTTTGAGAAAAAGTGTCTAGTGCATCTGGGGCCCTCAGGGCATAGCTCAATCTCCATAGCTAGCACAATCTTGGACCTCTTTGCTGAGGCTACAAATGAAGGTGCTAATGAATGTGAACTGAACAGATGACCATTTCCTTCCACCGGAGCAGCATAGGTTCCAACGCATGGCTGTAGAATGTCTACAAAAACCAAATGGTTGGTGTGGAGCAATGTTGCAAATGAGGGACTGTAAAATAGATGCAACTGTAGTGGAGAGAAGACCATGGAGACTGCCCCGCACGTGGCAGTAATACTCTGAGTTAACAAGCATCTAATATAAAAATGTCTTTGTCCCCAGTGCTCTTGGAAACCATAGTTAGCTCCCTGTTATCAACACTGTGTTTAAATATAGTTGCAATGAACTTGGATTCTACTCCTACTGTGGACTAGGCCTATGAGAGATGAGAGATTCTCCTCTCTGACCCCACATGGAAGGTCTTTTGAGCTTCCCTTGTTTATACCTACAGGAACCATGACAGAAATGATTCCTAAAACTCTATAAAGTCACTTTGGCCTAACGCTGTTCACTTCTGCTTCTGCCATCTCTGGTGAAGGAGGGAATGTGGCTGAGTGCAGCTATTGCTATTCCTCGGGCCATATTCAACATAACAACATAAGAACAGACATACTGGGTCAGTCCAATAGCCAGGTATCTTGTCTTCCGACAGTGGCCAATGCCAGGTGCTTTAGAGAGAATGAACAGAACAGGGCAATTATCGAATGATCCACCCCCTATTGTCTACTTCCAGATTCTGGCAGTCAGAGTCCAGAACACCCGAAGCATGGGGATGCATCCCTGACCATCTTGGATAATAGCCATGGATGGACCTTTGCTCCATTAACTTATCTAAGACTTTTTAAAACCCTGTTACAGTTTTGGCCTTCACAACATCCCCTGGCAATGAGTTCCACAGGTTGACTGTGCATTGTGTGAAGGAGTGAGAAACCTGATAATGTCTGACACAACCATGAGGAAACCAAATTAGAAACTGCTTCTGCCAAAACAGGACCCACTCCCTGCAAATTTAGACTAGAGCCTGTTTGCCAGATTCTCCAGCACAGGATATGGGTAACTCATGTGGAGGCTAGTGGAGTTACTTGTATCTTGCAAGTTGAGGTTTAGGCCTTTGGGCATTTGTTCTTTCTGTCAACATGCCCCAAACACCTAGGGACATAGGCGCCGACTTTGTGGTGCTCCGGGGCTAGAGCACCCACGGGGAAAAATTAGTGGGTGCTCTGGACCTACCAGCAGCCAAACTCCCCTCCTCACCTGAGCGCACCGCATCCCCGCTCCTCCGCCTACCTCGGAGTGTTTCCCGCCCGGCCGCCGCCAAACAGCTGTTTGGTGTCGTTAGCAAGCTCCGGGGGTGGGGGGAGGAGCGGGAACATGAGCGCTCAGGGAGGAGGTGGGGAAGGGGAGGCGGGGATTTGGGGAAGGAGTTGGAATGGGGCAGGGAGGGGGTGGAGTTGGGGCAGGGGGGGAAGAGGTTGGAATGGGGAAGAGGTTGGAATGGGGGCGGGGAAGGGATGGGAAGAGGCGGGGCAGGGGCAGGGCCTCATGGAAGGGGTGGATTGGGGCGGGGCCAGAGCAGAGGGGGGTCGAACACCCAGGGAAAAGAGGGGAAGTCGGCGCCTATGCCTAGGGATGTCAGTGTGGGGCCTGTGCATGTAAGGGGAGAGCAAAATAGCTTTAACAAGATCCACCACACAGAATGGGCAGGGAATATCTCCCTATTACTAAACCTGCCATATCTTTAAGAGCCACTGTGACAATCTGTATCCCTACGTTCACCTTTTTTACAAAACTATAATAGATTTTGTACAAAGTGTGCCTTGTGAAGTATCATCTGAAAACTCGTAATTTGCTGATCATTATTGTCCTGGTAAAATATGTGTGGCAACATTGTATGTAAAGTTATAATATTCTACACTATAACATTACTGAGACATGTTCCAAATTTAAAAAAGCAGGCACAAACCAGTTCCTCAAAGACAAAAGGCAAACTGACACCTCAGCCAGGTGTCAACAAAATCAAATGAACTATCATCTGGTTGAGTGGCCATTCTTTGGCAGGAAAAAGGGTATGAGTGAGAAATCTACATTTTTGGCAAAGAAACAGCCGGAGGTTCCTATCCCCACAGATCTTCTGTCTCCTGAACCTCAGCTGGAGATGATTTTCAAAGAAGAAGAGAACTATAAGAAAGGGGAACAGATGCCCCCAAACACTCCTCCCTTTCCCTCTGCCCATGGCATCAACAACACCTGAGGGACAAGGAAATTAACACTGAACTGGGGGAGGGGTCCTGAGCTGAAAGGATTCCAGCCAGTAAGACTGCTGTAGCATGTGATGTCAGAAACCTTTGCTTTGAATTCATTTAGCTTGTTAAATTAGATATTCTTTGCATTTTACCTTTTATTTTCTTTGTAACCAATTCTGACTCTTATGCGTCATTACTTGTAATCACTTAAAATCTATCTTTCGGTAGTTAATAAACTTGTTTTATTGTTTTATCTAAACCAATGTGTTTAGATTGAAATGTTTGGGAAACTTCATTTGGGAAAACAGGATTTGTGCATATAATTTTCTATTAATGAAATGACGGACATTATATGAGCTTGCATTGTCCAGGAAGGTGCTGGACAGCACAAGACACACAGTTCTGGGGGAAAGTCTGGGACTGGGCGTTGGCTGGAGTTGCCCTGTAGTGTAATTCATGGGTGGCTGGCTAATGGTTATAGCACTCATACAGAAACGCTGGGAGTGATTTACATGCTGGAGGCTGTGCGTGAGCAACAGAGGTACATTAAGATTTACTGGGGCCCTGGGCACAAAGAACATTTGGGCCTCACATACCCCACGGGCCCAGGGGGTGCCAGAATTGGAGAGGGGTAAGGGGGGGCCATGCCCACCCACTTTTTAACATGGGCATAACAGCCTCAGGCAAGCGCAGCACAGAAGTGGCAGGGGAACCCCTGCTTCTCATCTTCCACTGAGGCCATGGCCCCGCCAGGCCAGAAGCTGGAGCCGGGCTGTGGTAAGAGCCGCCTAGGGAGCCTGGGCCTCAGTGGGGAGCCTCGGCCCCTACAGCTGCCCTGGGTGGTGCACCCCAGGGGGGCGGGGACATGGGCCGGGGGCTGCTTTTGGGCATCCTGGCCCCCTGCCTAGGTGTAGGGTCCAGGGCTCCCCACAGTGGCTTGGGCTCCCTGGGTGGCTCTTACTGCAGCCTGGCTCTGGCTCCTGGCCTGGCTGGGGACAGGGCCCCAGGGGAAGAGGAGTAGTAGGCCGGGACCACAGTTCCAGTGCTGATGGCCCCCTCACGTCTACACAGGTTCTGGTACTCCTGTGGGGGCCCCCAAATTGGCCAGAGGCACTGGGCACGGGGCCTATGGGCCTTTGAGTTAATCCGTCACTGGTGTGCAGACTAGCAATGGTTGCTCTCACAGCGAAGCAGTGTAAAAGGCATTGCAGGTTGGAAAATTGAGGGGACGCAGCTGTCCATCAGTCCAGATTGTACCCAGAGTAATGTCACAGCCACCTCTGACGTACAGCTGCTAAGGACAATCCAATTGATTCCTGTTTCCATTAGCAAAGCCTCCCCTCTTGTAACTCATGTTTCCCTTTAAGTGGTCCAGGAGTGACCTAGCTCTGCGCCCGTCACTCTTTGCCTCTGTGGTGGGTTTTAGCTTTGTATGCTCACAGCCTAGATATCAAAGGACAGGAACATTACTGGTTTCCACTGCAGAAAGGTGACTTTTTTTCAGCCTAAAATAAGACATGCTTGCAAAGTGTCAGCAAGAGGCAACCACAGCTCAGTTTGTGGCAGGAAAAAGCCTTAACAGGGGTCTAGCAAGGGAAGAGGAGTTTTTCTGCACCTTTAAAAAAAAGTACTGATTGCTTCTCAAAATTTCCGTCTCTGCTCACCCCCACCATGACGCCCCTTTCATTGGGTGTAGGAAGTGAGCTGACCATTGCAAGATATATAAAAGCTCAGTGAAAGGGGCTCCGATTATCATTTTCTCCTCTGCTACTCCAAGGAAGCCATCAACAATGAAACTCCACGCAACAGACATCCTGGTCATTTTCTGGCTCGGCCTCTTTACTGTGAGCACCGTGAGAGGTAAGTGTTTAACTCTTCAGGAACATAGCAATAGCCATACTATATCAGCCCCGTGGTCCGTCCAATCCAGTGTCCTGTCTCGGGCAGTGACCGGTACTCGATATGTAGGAGGAAGGAGTGAGAAAACTGATAGTGAACAGTTATGGAATAACTTGCCCATAGGAGAAGTTTCTTCCTAACCCCTATCAACTGGTGGTTGGTTTATGCCCAAGAGGATTTATATCCCTGGCAAACCTTTGAGCTTAACTAAAGTATCGATGGATGCTCTTATTATCCATAATAAATGTCTAAACCTTTTTTGATCTTACTGATATATTGTGGTAACGAGTTCCACAGGTTGATTATGCATTTTATAAAAAGCATGTCTTTCAGGCAGTTTCAAGGATGTTGCCTTTTAATTTTGTTGGTTGTGCCCTTCTTCTAATGTTATGAAAACGGAGAGCTCCCAATTCATTTTCTACAGTCTGTTCATTATTGTATATACACCTTTGTCTTATTATAGCTGGGTTCAAAAAAGAACTGGATAAGTTCATGGAGGATGGGTAGAGCCCTGCAAATCTGTGGATATTCGTATCTGCGGGTGCGGATATCTGTGGATCATTTTTGCGGATCGGATACAGATACAAATTTTGTATCCGCACAGGGCTCTACGGATAGGTCCATCAATGGCTATTAGCCAACATTGTCAGGGACGCAATCCCATGCTTGGGGCAACCCAAAACTTCTGACTACCAAAAGCTGGGAGTGGAAGATGGGGTGGATCACTCCATAATTGTGCTATTCTGTACTCTCCTCCTGAAGCTCTGGTATGGCCCTCTGTCAGAGACTGGATACTGGGCAAGATGGACCATGGTCTGACCCAGGATGACAACTCTTATATTTATCATGTCACTTCTTATTTGTCTCCTCTCTGATCTATATAGTCCTGGTCTTTTTAGTCTCTCCCTGTATGGAAATCTTCCCAAGACTCTAGTAATTTTCATTGACTTTCTGTGAAATCCTTGTGTATTTGTGCTAAATCCTTTTTGAGGTGGGGTGGCTAGAAGTGAAGACAGCATTCAAGACTACATCACACCATTCACGGATACAATGAAATTATGATATTTTTAGTCTTATTCACTATTTCTTTCTTAATAAGGTTTACACACTTGTTTTGTTTTTATGAGCACAGCTTCACATTGGTCTTTTAAATTAACTGTCCACAGTGACACTTAGATCTTTTTCCTATTAATCATGAACAATTAATACACCACGACACTTGTAATAGACCACACTTGTTGCAAAAGCTCATCCGCACACACACAAGCACATATACAAATACACCATAAACAGATGCATGCAACAAGAACAAAAAAACCACATGCACAACCACAGTCATACCCAGTTCAGGCAGAACCACAAGAATACACAATGATGAGTATAAAAAAGTACCTTCACAAAACTCCACAAACCCCAAACACAGCCCCTCCCACACAAACACAAAATAATCTGCACTAGACATCCAGAGGGCTCATCCCTGTAGTGTGTGTTTGTTGTTGCTGTTCCAACCCTGTGTCCCTGGCAGGATAATTTGCCATAAAATGTAGCTGAAACTTTCTGTAGAAGGACCGTGCATATCAGGCAATATGTGGGGAGATAGGGCAGAGATCAAAAGTCTCAGGTGGTAGCCCCGTTAGAAGTGATTCTGTGGATGTGAGCAATTGGGCAGAAGATACGGAACTTTCCAAAGGCAGATGAATAGGAAGAGGGAGGAAAGAGGCAAAGTATTTGATTTTTTTTTCACGGTAGTTAATTGTCCTCCAAGTGGGTTTGATTTTTAAAAATTTTTTGGTTAAAGGGAACAGAGGGAGACAAAGATTTTGCTGGGAAGGAGAGTAAGAGCCCCAGGGAATGGAGGGGAAGGCAGCAGCAGCAAAGTGGGGAGAGAAATGAAGTGAAGAGGAAAACAGAAGGCAGCAGGAGGCAGAAGAAAAGAATGGAGTCACATAAGTATGTGGGAGACGGAGAGGAAAGCGGAGAGGGATGTGAGCAGCATAAGAGGGATCAGAAAGGGCAGTGATAAGAAATGGGCAGAGAGGGGAGTTATAGGCACACATCTTTGCACCATAAAAGCGGATATCTACTCAGACCTCTTCCAAACCGCTTAGAGAAGCTCTGCTTGTATAGGGAATATTCTTTAGAGCCAGGTGTGAGAGGGTGGAAATAATCCCACATGGGCAGGCAGTAAATCCACTGGCCACATTTGAGGATTGTAATTCAGAGTCCCCAAATTCTAATCCCACTCTGCTTCTTACACCTACTTTTTCAAAAGTGGCCACTTTTGCTGGTTGCCTGGGTTTTTGGGTGCTTCCATGACTTTCTGGGTACTCCACACCTCTGAAAATCAGGCCCAGGATGTCTCAAGTTGGATACCCTAAATCAGAGTGCCCCAGTTTCTTCACCTGTAAAACAGGGATGATAATATTGATCTTCCTTTGTAAAGTATGTTGAGATTCTCCCAGGAAAGGTGCTATGCAAGCACCAACTCTTAGTATTATTACATGCACACACCTGGTTGAAGCATGTGATACCCTTCTATTTCCGAGTGACGCTGTTTGACAGGCACACACTTGCTCACATTCCCACTTTTAATTAACGTATCGCATATTCATCCAGAACCTTACATCCCAAAAGATCCCCAAATGCTTTAGATACTTTATGTACACAGATCGCTTCAACTGAAATGAAGCCGTCTCTGGGAACCCAGCAGCTCTTTGATAGCGAAGCACTGCTACATGACAGTTTAGGACAGAAAGTGAAGAGCAATGGACCCAATTGAAAGTGCAGAGGCAATTTAGGAAGGCAGAATGTAATTACTATCCACACTGGAATTTGGCCAAGACATTTACTCTTACAATTGCCTTGGCTTTTTAATGATCTCAGATGATCAGGAGTTTGGTTGTATAGCTCCTATGTAAGAAGCATACTTAGGAAATGGATCCCAGTACATACATCTATAGATATTTCAACTGTAATTTAACATGCAATAATTTCCACTTAGTGTAAAGAATGACTATTCATTTAGCATTAGCTTACCATCTATTTTTTTCCCCTGCAGGAAGTGTTGCAAGTCAAATCGCGCCCAAAAGCTCCTGTGTAGACCTGTCCACGCAGCAGCTGGACATCAGACGACTTGTTAAATATGAGACGCAGCACATACCAGTAAAAGCTGTGATGTAAGTATCTGGACTACTCTTCAAACTAATCTAGAGACACATGCTGCTGCTATCAGGAGAGAAAGGGCAGGGGTAGAACTGAATCACAGCAAGCATGAGGGTCTTCAGTCTGACCAAAACATACTACTGAAGAGCATTCTTTCATTTCTAGCAGGTAGTAACTGTTAGTGGATGAACCTCAAAAAGTCTGGAGGATTTGTGCTGTTCAGAGGAGCATCCACAATTTGGATTGAACAGACAAACCTTTTTGATCAAGAAATTAGGAGGAAATCTCCCAAAGAGCAAGAGCTGTTTTGAGTGGCATGCTGGGGAATAGCAAACGTTGCTGTCAATTGGCAATGAGGTGCATTGCGCTGAGCTGTGTGAAGGAAACATACAGAACAGCGAAGTGTGATTATCCCTCCTTCTAGAGGATGTGACCGGTCCTTCAATCTCATGAGCATCTATTTAATTTTGGTTCTTGTGGGATAAATAAAGGGCCAACTCAGTATGCCAGGTGCTTAGCTCTTTTGAAATTTCTGGCTATACAGTATATGCCTATGTACGTTTATGAATACACTATATATACACACACACACACACACACACACACACACACGGCATGTATGTAGAGTTGATGTCCATACCATACAGCAGAACCAGCTCATTCCTGGCTTTGCGACTCTTTAGTGATGCAACCATCCCAAATGCCTGAAGACAAAACCTTTGTACCACACCACATAGGCCATAGAATAGAAATATGCACACAAGACCTTGGTTTGGAGAGAAGAATTTTAATGGCCGCCTGGCTTTCCTTTTCTTCCCCTGCAGGTTCATCACCAAACGAGGCATCAAGATCTGCGTGCAGCCTGATCTCAAATGGGTGCAGGATGCCATAAAATTCCTGGATAAAGGACCTGTCCGCAGAAGACCCAACAACAAGCCCGTGTCCAAACCCAAGCCCAAGCCCAAGCCCAGAGGCAATTAACTAAATGGATGCACCAGCCCAATCCTCAGCAACTGCTTGTACTTCTTCTAGGTGTTAATTGGAAATAAAATCTCTGAACTAACATGGGCCCATCGGAATCCATTCATCACTAGGGCAGAGCTGACTGAGAATCATTCCATTTTATAGCTGGACTTTTCCGCCCTGTTTTCAGGTTTATTTTCTGAAATGTTCATTAATAATTATTTATTACTGTGTGTAGGCATCTCCCCTCCCCCCCTCCACCTGGATGAACTTTTATAGTTACAAAGGACAAGGATGTGGGTGAAACTACTTCATAGAGGGTTTGATACCGGTGAAGGAGGTTGGCGTCAGACACTGGGGCTGGACTTTAAAAAGAGTCTGGATAATTTTATGATAATTAATAACTATATAAGCTATAAGTAAACAGCCTGTATGCTCCAGGGCATCAGCTGATAACTGCAAGATTCAGGAGGGAATTAGCTAGATGTATTGGGTCTAATTCTCCTCCCACTTTGCAACAATGCAAATTCATTGGGACAGGTCCTCTCCCAGTATAAGTGATGATCAGTCTAGAGTGTAACTTGATGCAGATTTACACCCGTGGAGGATCTAGCTCACTGACTTCTGTGAAGTTACTCCTTATTTACACTGGTATGAGATAGATCTGAACCAGTTGCTTTATTTTTTCCTTTGCATTCCTCTGAAGCATCATGTGTAAGCCATGGCTGGAGGTAGGAGACCGCGCTTGATGCCAATCCTATTTACCAATCTCTTATTCTCCAGGTAGTGGAGAGCCATGTCCAAGGGGCTTTACATTTTAGAAATGAATGGATTCTAATAACTGTGGTGTCTCTGTTTTTCTGTAAATTAATAAAATTCTTGCAAATCTATAGTCAAATGGTATGTGTGTCTGCTTGTATGTGACCCGCATGGAGATCACACAGTGGGGGTAGGGAGGTTATAGCACAAATCCATGATTTTATTGTCAGCCTAGGAGAAATAACTTTTCCAGAAACATCTGCTGCCACCTTCAATAGCTAACAGTAGATAGATGGAATTTGCATCCAAGCTTTCATTTACTCTGTATCCCTATATTGTATAGATGAGTTCACATCACTCCAGCCCTTCAATTCGCTCTTCTAGTTAACACTGCAGGAAGTATTCCTCCCCAGCCTCTCATTCTGTGTCACTGTTCTCAAACTGGGGGAAGGAATGTGTTCGGGGAGGGGGGGGAGAAGCTTTCGGGGAAAAAAGGTATTGTGGACATTTTACCCACAGCAATACACCACCCTTACTTCTGTCGCTGCTCTCTGACCATCCAGTTCTGAAGGCAGAGTCGAGAGTGGTGGCTGCTGGCTGGGTGCCCAGCTCTGACGGCAGCGCCACTGCCAGCAGCAGCAGAGAAGTAAGGGTGGGAATACCATACCATGCCACCCTTATTTCTCCACTGCTGCTGGTAGCAGCACTGCCTTCAGAACTGGTTTGATAGTCTGTACTCCCATATTCACACTTTTTACAAGACTATGATATGTTTTGTACAAAGTATGCCTTGTGAGGTATCATTAGAAAACCTCATAATCTGCGGAACATTATTGCCCTGTTGAAATATGTGTGACAACATTGTATGTAAAGATATAAACTTCTGTTGCATGGTACTACTGAGACATGTTACAATTCTGAGGAACACCACACACCAGATCCTCACAGATGGAAAGGCTATCGAACACCCTAGCCAGGTTTCAAAGAGATCAAGTGGACCAGCACCTGGTTAGGTGGCCATTCTTTGGAAGGAAGAAGGGTGTGAGTGAGAAATATACATCTTGGCAAAGGAACAGCTGGAGGTTCCCATCCCAACAAACGTGCTGTTGCCTGAACCCCAGCTCGAGATCACTCTCAAAGAGGAGAGAAAGGTATAAGAATAGATAACAAACACCCCAAGTTACTCCTCCCTTTCTCTTTGCTCATGGCATCAACAACACCTGAAGGAACACTGAACTGAGGGAGGGATCCTGGCTACAAGCAAGACTGCAAAAGCATGTGGTGAGAGAGATATTTCGTTTTGAATCCACTTAGCTTGTTAAGTTAGATGTTAGTTGCATTTTACCTTTTATTTTCTTTGTAACCAATTCTGACTTTTATGCCTCATTACTTGTAATCACTTAAAATCTATCTCTCTGTAATTAATAAAACATGTTTTATTATTTTATCTAAACCAGTGTGTTTGGATTGCAGTGTTTGGGAAACTACATTTGAGATAACGGGATTTATGCATATCATTTTCTATTAATGAAATGACGGACTTTTTATGAGCTTGTATTGTCCAGGTGGGTGCTGGGCAGTACAAGACACACATTTCTGAGGGGGAAGTCTGGGACTGGGAATTTGCTGGTGTCGCTCTGCAGTGTAATTCAAGAGTGGCTGGCTATAGCACTCATACAGTATAGCTGGGAGTGATTTACATGCTGGAGTCTATGCGTGAGCAGGCCAGGAGGGGTTGCTCTCAGAGTGAAGCAGTGTAAAAGGCACCCCAGGTTGGAGAGTTGAGGAGACATAGCTGTCCTACAGTCCAGCTTGTACCCTAGGTTATGTGACAGCTGGGCGGCCAGAGAGTGGCGGCTGCTGGCTGCCCAGCTCCGCCAGCAGCAGTGGAGAAGCAAGGGTGGCATATTGCGCAATCAAATAAGTTTGAGAACCACTGGCCCAGAAGAGAAAAGAGAACTGCAATCGCTCTTAACTGTCCCAGACAGCAGGCCTGAAAGGGAGGCCACTGCCCAGAGATGGAGGAGAGGGCTGAACATCTTTATGCAATACTGCCCTTAGAGCCAACTTTGTCTATTTTGCTTCCACTATACAAAGCTGTGTCTGCCTTCTCATCTAAAGCTGCCATTTTGAGCATACTAGAAAAATTGCTGCTGCAACAAGCTGTGGTAATAAAAACATGGTAGGCCGAGTGAACTGCTGAGAGAGGAAGATTCAGGCTGCCGGGCTGACTGCAGCACAGAGCATTCATGCTCCAGGAGTGCCCTGCATTTAGTATCTGATATGCAGCATCAGCTCTCACGGCTCATGTGCATCCCAGGGCAGAATTTGCTATCAACATGCTTCTTATTGGTCAGATACCTTTACTCTCATTGAATAGTACGTTGTACAGCACTACAATTAGCCTCATTGAAGTCAATGTAAAAATTTGTAATTGAGGGTGCCACAGTTTGGTGCTACACTAATTAGTTTGTGCTATATATATATATGATTATTTTACATATGTGCCCACTATTAATAGTTAATACATTTAATTATTAACACGGATTAATTATTAGTGATTAATATTTAATTATTAATTAGACATAATCAATATATACTGTTTATCATTCACTATAACAGCGATAGTGAGAATCAAGTACTATGTGAGGTTCCTAGTCCACGTCAGCTCTTCACAGCATGTCTATAATCCTCCAAGATTGGCCTGCTTGACCTTCACCATTGTTTAATGAAGCACTGCTTACACCAGTCCTTACGCTGCCTCTAGCTCTTTCCACATAGGCAGTTGCAAATGATTTCCACCTCTGTTGCCATGCGCACCCTAGTGGTTCATAATGAATAACTACTTTGCCCTGCTTTGGCACTTCCGAGGCTCTCAAAGAGCTTTATAAAGATAAGAATGATCATTGTCATTTTATAAAAGGGACCCTGCAACACATGGCGATTAAGAGCTGGCTTGGAGCATTACACTGCCCCACAAGCAGACCAGGGAGGGAATAGCAACTCTGAAAGAGACATTTTGCTCCTGGTTCCCCCTTGCTCTTGTGGGGAGGTAGCTTGCTTCTGCTCTGTGACAGCAGCAGATGAATTCCCCCTCCAGGCGAGCTCGGCAGTGCTCTGCCAGCTGATGTATTGGAGGGGGACAGTGGCAGAGCTCTGCCCATTCCCTGCCTATGCATTCTCTATATCCCATGAGTAGGATGGGGAGTAGTCCCCCCTCTCCCCCATGCTGTGACCTGTCATGCAGGTAGCCTGTGCAGGACTTTGCACCCCTTACTTTCCTCTGTTCTGGTGTAAGGGCAGGTCACGATCCAGCCCTAAATACTCACCATGGTTACATAACAAGTCAGCAGTAACTCCTGGCCCTAGGCCCTGGCTATTAACTCTAAAAACACTAACTGCCACCAACGCTAGTAGCAGAGAACACCTCTGGATGTGTAGCAATCCGCTTACCCACAGTCAGACCCCACACATGTAAAGGTCATTCTTCTCCTGCAGGGGTAAATACTGGCAACACGTAGAGATCCTTCACATGAACAACTGTGCTAGGTGAACAGAGCCCTGGAAACAGATGGGTGCCATGGGGCAGCTCCTCAGCCAGTATAAATTGTCAGAGCTCCACTGACTCCAACATTTTCACGATCTCGCTGCACAGAGCGTAATTCGTCTAACTGTAGCAGTCTGTTTCTTTTTCTAACAATTTCTTTAGGAATTTAGCAACTATGGCATTGAAAATTTACGCACAAACCAGTAACAGTAACCAACATGCCTTGAAAACAATATTAAACCATTCAGTATCTGAGGCCTCCTATAATCACTGATGCTCTGTTGGTTGGGATGCTGATTAATCATGTTTATTATGGTAGTGCCTAAGGACCAATCAAGAATGGAGCTCACTATATGCACACAGGAGAGTAGAAAGTCTCTGCCCCAAGGAGTTTATAATCTAACTAGACTAGACAGATGGGGGGGAGGGACGGTGGGGGTGGAGGGGAGCGGAGGAGGCTGAGCACACATGTTGATGGCTGTTTTATTTGGCCGATGAGCATTTTATCTGAGTTTTGCTTTATGCTATTTCAGGATGTTTTCGTTGTTTTGTGTCATTATAATTTAACTGTTTGCTAGGTGCCTTATGTGGAGAAGGGTTGATAGATAAAGGTATGATGCATGACTGAATAGCTTAATATGACTTGAAATTACATAGCAATAAAGAAAAAGCTTCACTCCTCTCTCCCTCACCACCCCCTGTACCAATGCAG